ATCTAAGAGCTCTTTTTTGTAAATTATAACTAGAGAGTTCTCCTCATTACAGGTTACAAGATGCCACCCTAGATTCTTATTTTTTGTTGGACCCACCATCGACTCTTAAGTAGAAAAAACCTAAAGAAAGGCAGAGTTACTCCACCACCTCTGCTCTTTCATAGAATGGAGAAAATCAAGATTGATATGGACGACCAACTCCACATCCATCTTTGAAAATCTAAACATAATGTTTTAAAAAAATCTCTGCAAAAAAATAAAAAAATAAAAAACCCAACCCACCCCCAATCCCCCCTATCCCATGTCTCTGACGCACATCCCCTTCCCTCTCTTTGTATTCCTGTCTCTTTGTCTTGTCTCCCTCTCTCTCTCATCTGGGTTGGGCATGGTGAGAAAAAAAATTCCGGATGCATCTCACCACCCAACCCGACTGAGAATTGCTCATCGTCTTCAGAATCTCGCCCCTATTCCGACTGAGAATTGCTCATCAACCAATCCATATGCATCCCACCACCCAAGCTTTCTTGCTTCACTGGGAGCATGTTTTGCTTTTTAGGTTATTTATTTATTTATTTATTTTTCATTTTAGTTGTTGTTTAGTTTTTAAATTTGTTTTTTAATTATATTATAATTTATATCCAAGGGACACAATTTCCTTGGACCACAGGAGTCCAGAAGAATAGGATAATTGAGTACGTAATTCATATACTAATCATTTAATGAGCAACAAAACAAATCAAATCAAAGAATCCAAATGCAAAATGAAGGAAGCTACTCCAAAACTCTATGATCAGATAAATATACTTAAATGTTTCATGAACATCACTATAATACGAGAAACTTTAGTGTGTAATAGTAAGACTCCCATATAAAATTAACCTAAATTATAGGGGCATTTCAAAATAGACTTGGTCAATAACTAAAGTGTTTTGAAAAACTCTCGTATTATAGTTGTTGAATAAAAACCCAATTTTGATTTATTATTATCAATAAATATATAGGTATTATATTAATATTGGGTAGAGATATTTCCATATGTTTCACTTAAAGTCAAGTCCACATTTGCAAGATGATATTTGTAGCTTGTGTCTGGGGAGATGGGATGCAAAGCCAATGGTTGAGCGGACACGGGAAGGCACCTTACCAAGTTAAGCCGAGTACCTGCAAGTCAGTTGGGGAACGCGTTGGAATTCGAATCACCATATTAAGTCTAAGTCAATAGTTGCATTGAAAGGCAAACCACCATATCAAGTCTAAGTCACAAGTCTTCGATTTCATCCATTAATTTCCACAATATTCATTGATTTATTACTTGTTTACATGGACTGCTTTGTTCAATTATCTTTTTCCACATAGTGACATGAATAAGAGTAGAGTGTACGTTGTATAGTTTTTTTCTTCTTCTTTTAGAAAATTTGGTATAGTCCACTTCTGATGACATAAGTGAAATTGGACCTATATCTAAGATCTCTTTTTTGTAAATTATAACTAGAGAGTTCTCCTCATTACATGTTACAAGATGCCACTCTAGATTCTCATTTTTTGTTGGACCCACCATCAACTCTTAAGTAGAAAAAACCTAAAGAAAGGCAGAGTTACTCCACCACCTCTGCTCTTTCATAGAATGGAGAAAATCAAGACTGATATGGACGACCAACTCCACATCCACCTTTGAAAATCTAAACATAATCTTTTAAAAAAATCTCTGCAAAAAGATAAAAAATAAAATACCCAACCCACCCCCAATCCCCCCTATCCCATGTCTCTGACGCACATCCCCTTCCCCCTCTTTGTATGCCTGTCTCTCTGTCTTCTCTCCCTCTCTCTCATCTGGGTTGGGCATGGTGAGAACAAAAATTCCGGATGCATCTCACTACCCAACCGACTGAGAATTGCTCATCATCTTCAGAATCTCGCCCTTATTCCGACTGAGAATTGCTCATCACCCAATCCATATGCATCCCACCACCCAAGCTCTCTTGCTTCACTGGGAGCGTGTTTTGCACTTTAGGTTATTTATTTTTTTTTTATTTTTTTTTCATTTTAGTTGTTGTTTAATTTTTAAACTTCTTTTTTTAATAACCCTTATATTATAATTTATATCCAAGGGACACAATTTCCTTGGACCACATGAGTCTAGAAGAATAGGACTGAGTACGTAATTCATATACTAATCATTTAATGAGCAACAAAACAAATCAAATCAAAGAATCCGAATGCAAAATGAAGGAAGCTACTCCAAAACTCTATGATTAGATAAATATACTTAAATGTTTCATGAACATCACCATAATACGAGAAAATTTAGTGTGTAATCGTAAGACTCCCATATAATATTAACCTAAATTATAGGGGCATTTCAAAATAGACTTGGCCAATAACTAAAGTGTTTTGAAAAAGTCTCGTATTATAGTTGTTGAATAAAAACCCAATTTTGATTTATTATTATCAATAAATATATAGGTATTATATTAATATTAGGTAGAGATATTTCCATATCTTTCACTTAAATTCAAGTCCACATTTGCAAGATGATATTTGTAGCTTGTGCCTGGGGGGATGGAATGCAAAGCCAATGGTTGAGTGAACACGGGAAGGCACCTTACCAAGTTAAGTCGAGTAATTACAAGTCAGTTGGGGCACGCATTGGAATTCAAATCACCATATTAAGTCTAAGTCAATAGTTGCATTGAAAGGCAAACCACCATATCAAGTCTAAGTCACAAGTCTTCGATCTCATCCATTAATTTCCCCAATATTCATTGATTTATTACTTGTTTACATGGACCGCTTTGTTCAATTATCTTTTTCCACATAGTGACATGAATAAGAGTAGAGTGTACGTTGTACAGTTTTTTCCTTCTTCTTTTTAGAAAATTTGGTATAGTCCAATTCTGATGACGTAAGTGAAATTGAACCTATATCTAGGAGCTCCTTTTTGTAAATTATAACTAGAGAGTTCTCCTCATTACAGGTTACACTACTACATTTTACTATTTGCGTGACGAAAGTTTGCGCGACGAAGTAAAATTCGTCGCGCAAAAGGCACTACAGCGACGAATATTTTTTTTCATAGCGCAAAAAACTGGAAACTTGCGTGACGAAAATCTCAGTTGCGCAAAGATTGTTCGCGCGACAAAAAAATTAGTCATCGCACAAAGTGGGAAAGAAAAGCGCGGGTTTTTTTTTGGCACCAAACCTTTGCGCAACGACAGAGTTGGTCGTGCTAAGAACCTTTGCGCGACGGAAAAATTTCTTCGTCGCGCAAAGTGTGGAACGGAAAACAAGGTTGATTTTTTTTGCCAAATATTTGCGCGACGATGGCAATTGTCGCGAAAGACATCATTGCGCAACTATTTTTCTTTCGTTGCGCAAAGAAGGAGAGAAAATGGCGGTAAATACTTGCGCGACAGACGTGTGGTTCGTCGCGCAAGGTTTGATGTCAGCACTATCTTGTGCAACGGAAAGTTTCGCTTGCGCGACACGTTTACGAGTTTGCGCAACGAAGTTTTGCACGACGACACATTTTTTCCGTCGCGCAAAAACCTGATTTCTTGCGCGACGAAAACATTATTCGTCGCGCAAAATCCTTCTTCTACATATCTGCAATCTGCCGTTGCAGAGGCAGATTGCTCCATTTTTCTGCCATTTTGATTTTTCCTCTGTCTGTGCTGCTGCCTATGCTGACAATTCAATACGCTCATTGGGTAAGTATTAGTTGTCATTTGTTTAAAAGTATTAATGTAAATTCGTACTAACGGTATTTTTTTATTTATATTATAGATATTTGTAAATTGCGAATGTGGAGAACGATTGAGAAGGTATTTCATTCATTTTATATTAAATTCATTACATTATGTTGAACTTAGTTTGTTATATTTATATATTTTGTTGTTGAATTATATTTATATTATGTTGTTAAATTGTGTGTGACGTAGCACAATGTGTTGTGATGTACGAAGTTAATTGAAATTAACTTCGTACTTTTATTATAATTTTTTAGTAACACTTAGTTTCCCGTTCGAGATTAGTTGGATGCGTAAAGCAGGATTGCGGTCCAATTAATTCTTGAATTGTCCCATTATTTGGACAGTTTGGTAATGCATAGTGTTGTCACGTAATCTATGGCTACATGATTAGATTTTGATTGTGGAGATTTCAGTGTCATCTCGGTACGTTCTTCGAGTGGTATGTAGGTATTTATACCTATGCCCACCTCAAGAACTATATCGAGATGCTGCCGAAATTTATCCACGTCGAAATCTAATCTCATGTAGCCGTAGGTTACGTGACATGACTATGTTGTGATTGTAACTTCGTATAATGTTGTTGTGATACAATGTTGTGATTGTGGTTTAAGGAATCATGAGCAAAAGGTGGATACAGAACCCGAATAGATGCGCAGACGAATACTTGGATGGAATCGAGGATTTTATTGCGTTTGCACGTAGACACAACCCGGGTGCAACTAGAATCCGTTGTCCTTGTAGAAGTTGTAATAACACGTTGTGGATCCTAATGAACAAGTCATTGATATTATAAATGATGCTTTTCCATTTGCATCGACCAACATCAATCAGGAAGGGGAAGATGACGTGCCTACCCCAATGGACAGTGCAGAGTTCGAACAATATGAACAACTGTTAAAAAGTGCCAACCAAGAGTTATACCCAGGGTGCGAGAGCTTTTCCGTTCTTACGGCCATTGTGGAGCTAATGCACGGAAAAATAAAGTATCATATGTCGAACCTGTGTTTCGATTACTTTTTGGGCGTTTTCAAGAGAATGCTTCCGACGGACAATTGTTTGCCCAAAGACCATGGACAAGCACAAAAGGTGTTGAATGGTCTTGGATTGGGTTATGAAAAAATTAATGCTTGCAAAAACAATTGCATGTTATTCTACAAAGAGTATGAAACATTGGATACATGCCCTATATGCAAAGAGTCGAGGTTCAAGATGACATCTCAGAATAGGACGACTTAGATCCCACAGAAAGTCATGCGTTATCTGCCCTTGAAACCTAGGCTACAGCAATTGTATATGTCGACTCCTACTGCCACAGACATGAGATGGCATAAGGAGAAACGGGTAGACGACAATGTGATGCGGCATCCTGCAGATGGGGAAGCATGGAAAGAGTTCGATCGAACGTTCCCCGACTTTGCTGCTGATCCTCGAAATGTTAGATTGGGACTTGCCACTGACGGATTCAATCCATACGGGGTTCTAAACCAACACCACAGCACTTGGCCGATTTTCGTATTTCCATAAAATTTGCCGCCTTGGAAATGCATGAAAAAAGAGTACATGATGATGACTGTTTTGATAACTGAGGATCCTGGCAGGTCAATCGATGTTTACTTATGGCCGTTGGTTGATGAGCTCAAGGATTTATGGACAAACGGTGTGCGCACGTACGATAAAGCCACTGTGAAGATGTTCACTTTGCGGGCAGCAGTGATGTGGACTGTAAATGATTTTCCCGCATATGCAATGGTTTCTGTGTGGAGCACAAAGGGTTATATGGCATGCCCTGTATGCAAGGAAAATGTAACTTCTGGTTGGCACGTGGGAAAAGTTTGTTATCTTGGTCATCGAAGATGGTTGTCATGGGACCACGAGTGGCGGGAAAAGGATAAAGAGTTTGACGGGAACACAGAGCATCGCTTCAGACCTAGAGAATGGTCCGGTGATGATATCTTGGAACAGCTAAACCGTTTGGATTTTTCTTCGTTCGGGAAAACAGTTACCCGGACCAGACCTTCTACACATTTGAACTGGACGCACAAGTCTATGTTTTTTGAGCTCCCATATTGGTCGAAACTAAAATTGAGGCACAATCTCGACGTTATGCATGTTGAGAAAAATGTCTTTGACACATTGCTGGGCACGATTCTAGATATCGAGGGTAAGACAAAGGACACGATCAAAGCTCGTCTTGATTTGGAAAGAATGGGCATACGAAGAGGTTTATGGATGAACAGGGACGGTGATAAAGCTAGAAGGGATCTAGCATTTTTTGCCATGAAACCGATTGACAAAAAAGATTTTCTACAGTTTGTATCATCGGTAAAGTTTCCCGATGGGTATGTTTCTAATATCGCGTGTTGCCTGAATGTTGACGGGGGTAAATTTACTGGACTGAAGAGCCATGACTACCATGTGTTTATGCAACGCCTACTTCCTGTGGGTATTCGACACCTTTTGCTAGAAGATGTAGTGAAACCAATGATGTTGTTGTCCAGATTTTTTTCCCAACTAACGGCAAAAACATTGCGAAAGACAGACATTAATCAGTTGCGCCATGACATTGTCCAAGTCCTATGCAAGTTCGAGATGATATTCCCTCCAGCTTTTTTCACAAGTATGATCCACGTGATGGTTCATTTGCCAGAAGAGGCATTGCTCGCTGGTCTTTTAAACTATCGCTGGATGTATCCAATAAAAAGGTATATAATCCTCATAATTTGTTTCTGCATCCTTATCTCACGGTCGCTAATTTGTATCATTTGTTTTTATTTTGCCAGGCTTCTCTGAGAGTTGTAAAAAACTGTACGCAACAGGGCGAAACCCAAAGGATCAATTATAGAGGCTTGGGTTCAATATGAGTCGCTTACTTTTTGTGGAATGTATTTAAAAGATGTGGACGCAGCTTTCAATCGTCCTCAACGCAATAATGACGGAGGTCTGAGAAATGAGAAACTTTCTGTTTTCGCCCAAAGCGCACGACCCTTTGGAGATCCGGTACGAGGAGAGTCGTTTTCTAGAAATGACATGGAGGTAGCGCATTGGTTCGTACTTAACAATTGTGATGAGATAATGTCATACTTAGATGAGCATGAAGAGATGATGAAGCAAGAACATCCATCACATTTGTATGCCAAGAAACACCGTGATTTGTTTCCAAAATGTTTTTGGAATATGTAAGTTATAAGTGTTTTGTATTTGTTATATATATATATATATTGTGTATTATTTAATGTTATCAAACTAACATGTGAATTCATTTGTATAATATTAGGTGAATAAGTTGAAATCATCGAATTCACCCTCTTACAGTGAAGAGTTATATAACTTGGCGTTCGGCCCGATTCGCACTGAATTATTCTCGGGTTGCCATGTTAATGGCGTTAAGTTTTTGGGGACTGCACGAGATGACAAGTTGTGTACGCAAAACAGTGGTGTCCATGTCCCGGGTGGTGGCGAAAGTACTGACATTGATTTCTATGGCAAACTCACAACTGTCATGCAATTGCTTTACAAAGACCGATACCAAGTGATCATGTTTAAGTGTCGATGGTTTGATACAAATCCAAATAGGCAGGGAAGTGTTAAAATAAACCATGGCTTACTATCAGTGAACATTAACAAAACTTGGTATGATGACGACCCTTACATTTTGGCAAACATGGCAAGACAAATTATGTATCTAGATGACCCTAAAGCCGGAAGCGGTTGGAAGGTTGCTCAGCAGATGGATCAGAGGAACGTGTATGCTATACCAAAACTAGACTCAACTGACAACGACGTCGACAACGTCACTGACCAACGATTGGAATCTTCCATGGAAACTGATGCGGAAACACTTCGAGATTTAGATGTTATACAAGAACCGTTTCAGCTTCAAGGAGTGTCTTCAATCGAAATACCAATTAAGTCAATTACAATTGACCTCGGTGATCTTCTGTGCTATGAAGTTCCAGTGGGCCCAAACAACAAAAGTGATGAGGAGGAGAATTGGGAGACCGAAATTGATGATAGCGAGGATAACAAAAGTTACAATAGTTCAGATGATGAATAATGCAATTCATTAGCGACTACCCATGTAAAACATAGTCAATGAAATTTGTTGTAATTTAATTATGGTAGTGTAAATATGGCAATCACAAATTAAAATGAAGTTGCACACAAAATTTGCAATCACAAATTAAATTACAACATATAATATATAAATTAAAATTTAGATATAACACCTATAAACAAAAAATAATGTAATTATAATTAAATTTTCGGAATTTTCAGAATTTCTGGTGGAATTACCGCGACGAAACAAAATTTATTCATCGCGCAATTACAGAACTTGCGCAACGAAAAAAAATTTATTCATCGCGCAATTACAGAACTTGCGCAACGAACAAGTGGTTTATTCGTCGCACAATCTCATTCAGCGCTTTTACAAATAGGGAACACTTAGCATGATTTTTGCGAGGGGTTTGCACAGAACAAAGACTTGCGCGACGAACAAGTGGTGTATTCATCGCGCAATCTCATTCAGCCCTTTTACAAATAGGACACACTTAGCATGAATTTTTGCGGGAGGTTTGCACAAAACAAAGACTTGCGTCACGAACAAGTGGTATATTCGTCGCGCAATCTCATTAAACCCTTTTACAAATAGGGAGCACTTAGCATGATTTTTTGCGAGGGGTTTGCACAGAACAAAGACTTGCGCAACGAATACTATGTTCGTCGCGCATTCCAAACCCTAAACCCTAAACCCTAAACCGTACACATAGTTGAGATTTATTTTTTTCGCGCGACGAATGTACCTCTTCGTCGCGCAATCTGGTGAAATCAGCAGCTTGTGCGACGAAAACTTCAATAGTTTGTCGCGCAATGTCATTCAATTCTTTTAAAATTGTGAAAAATGTGTATAAAGTGATCAAAATTTAGTACCTTGTTTGTTTCATTTAATTCTAGTCTTAGAGATGAGATTGCTAATACCGGGCCCACCAAAAACACCTCCTTATTAGGGGACTACTAGTCCCATGTTGAAAGGGAGGATGAACTAGTCCTATGTTCAAAATGTATAAGTTTTTTTATTTTATATTGTAATACTAATAACATATATTACTATTATTATTATTATTACTACATACACATATACTATAATGTACATATATACACGTATATACACATATACATGTGTATATATATATAAACACATACATATATAATATATATATAAATACATATAGATATATACACGTATATTATTATTATAATATACCCATATACACATACATATTAATATTATAATAATAACATACATGTATATATGTATTATATATATTATATATTAGAATACATATATACGTATATATACATATATATGTATATATATTATACCCATGTATGATATATTATAATACATATATATACATATATGTGTATATATATTATACCCATGTATGTATTATAATATACGTATACACATGTATATACACATATATATTATATATTATAATATACATGTATATTATTATTATTATTATAACATACCCATATATATATTATCTATTATAATATATACATATATATATATATATGTATATGTATTATACCCATGCATATATTATAATATACATATATACACCTATATACACATATATATTTATATTATTTATAATATATAATATACATGTATATACACATATATGTTATATATATATATTATATGTATGTATACAGAGAGCTTCCATTGAGGGATCCCTCAAATAATCTTATTTGAGGGACACCCCTTGTAGGGCTCACTCCGGATTGTATTTCACTAATCCAAACCGTCTATTTTGTAGATACACATTCAAAGATCATCTCTACAAAAAATCACTTGAATCTGATATCATTTGACTATTCAATTGAGTTATTGAAATTTTAGTACTTTCTTGAAACACCGTGTTCATTGATTTTGTATGACACAATTGGATGTCGAAACGGTTTCCGATTTGTCTAATTTTTGTAAGGATGATCTATGAATGAAGACCTAAAAAATAGATGATTTGGATCATTGGAAAAAAAACTGTAGAGTACCCTAAAGGGTGTCCCTCAAATAAAATTATTTGAGGGATCCCTCAATAGAAGGGGATTGTGTATGTATATATACATATATATTATATATTTTTAAAATTACATATATACATATATATAGGTATTTTTGAAAAAAAATAAAAAAATCTAGTCCTAGTCCAAGCATGCACCAAACGCAAGATAAGTGTTATCCAACTTAGACAAGGCCGACAGTCCCGAAGCATAGTCCATGCCAAGACAGTCCTGACAAATGAGCGCTAAAATTTCTGGCGGCATAACAAGCTTGCGTGACGGTTTTTTTATTTTTTCGTCGCGCAATGTTCATTAAAAACGGAGTATGCGCGATGCATAGTGTTTTCGTCGCGCAAGGTCTTCAAAATTTGGGCGGAATGTTGTAAAAATTTGGGCGGAAAACAACCTTGCACGACGGTTTTCTTATTTTTTCGTCGCGCAATGTTCATTAAAACGGAGTTTGCGCGACGCATAGTGTCCTTCGTCGTGCAAGGTCTTCAAAATTTGGGCGGAATGTTGTAAAAATTTGGGCAGAAAACAACCTTGCGCGACGGTTCTTTTTATTTCTTCATCGCGCATTGTTCATTAAAACGGAGTTTGCGCGACGCATATTGTCCTTCGTCACGCAAGATCCGAGAAATATTCAGAAAAATCGCGACAGCCTCCTTTCTTCCTCACTTCCTCTCTCTGCCCTAAACACCCTCTCTCTCCGCCATCACCCCAGCCCAGTGCTCCGTCGGAAAAAGGATCGGGCCGCCACCACCGTCGAAGCCCAGAGGTTCCCCGCCGTCACCGTCGAAGATTTCGCCGGAAAAACCTTCGTTTGGCAGATTATGCGCCACCTGTTTTCTCTCTCCTCCAGCCACCAATTCCAACGCCTGAGGTATGGTTTCTGGACTACTTCTTGTGCTCTAGCAGATGGTTGATTAGGATTGGATAATTGTGTGAATAGGTGTCTCGTATTTAAACCCTAGGTCTTGGCCGGTTTTTGAATTTCAATTCAGGCCATTTCCGGCCACTTCCGGCCATTTTTTGGGGTAGGTCCGAGAACAAAAGTGCCTCTAAATGATGTTTTGAACCTAGGGTAGGAACCTCGGCCCTTAGTTTTTAGAAATTTCTGGCGATTGTTATCGCTTTGGACACCCACGCGCTGTCGGCGCGTGTGGTGGCACGTGGGGACTATGGCAGTGGGGCATTGGGTCCCAGAGCAATCCCCTTTTGTCACGAGCACGTACATGTGGTCGGATTTTAATTTGGTTACCGTTTCAGTCTTGAACGGATTTCGCCTATTGTGCGATTTCCATGTTTGTTATGTTCGGACCGTTGGATCGAACTCAAACTCACGTATGTTGTACCTTGTATTTCTAGGATCGTGTAGGATTCGACGGATTGTGGATCGGAGTCCCGGATACTCCGAAATCGCAAACCCTAGGTTATTCTTGTAATTAATTATTTAAAATTGTTAATGAAATTTTATAACTTATATATTCTAAATTCTATTAATGTGTGTGTGTACCCTTTGGAAATTGTGCAGATGTCAGATCTGATTAGACTTCGTAAGTCGGTGACGACTACACCGAGTTCGGAGCCCCCGCCTCGGTCGGCATCTGCTGCCACTGCTCCAGCACTGCTGGACCAACTGCCATAGGTGTCCCAGGCGCCTGCGTCATCAGCTTCATCAGTGGCGTAGCCTGTTAGCGCTAGGCGGCGGCACCGGCCCGCAAGCACCACCGACACGACGTCGACCGACGGTACTGTTGCCTCAGGGTCACAGCCAGGTATAGATATCCCTTCAACTGTAGTTCTATTTTTAATTTTTATATTTTGAATTTTATAGTTACATTTGTTATTTATTGAACATTATTGTCATATCTCATTGCAGCCAAGAAAAACACCCGAGGGCTGTGTCGGCAGCTGAAGACGGCGAAGGTCACCCGGGTGACCAACAGTCGTAATAGCATCGAATACGACGAGCGCCATCGGGCTGCACCGACAGCGGAGTTGCATAGCTCCTTGGCCCACGACATTGGCCACGTCGTTCGGACCCATTGCCCGATGCACTGGAATTCTTGGAAGGTCGTGCCTGATGAGATCAAGATGGAGGTTCGCGGCCAATTGTCGGTATGTATCCTACCTTGTAATTATTTTTCTTTCAAATTTTATATATTTCTATTACTTAATGTATGTAAGTAATTTATTACATACGAAATATAACTTAGAGGATCTCAACGAGGAGTCGTTGGCGTACGTCAACAGACTCTTCGGTGTGAGGTACAAGCAGTGGAAGAGCGACTTGCACCACCATTTTCAGGCGTTTGATGATCCGGAAGTCGCTCTTCGGGAGGGTTGCCCGAAGGAGCTTGAGGGGCGGGAGGATGGTTGGGCATGGCTCTGCACTCATTTTCAGGCGCCTGATTATGTGGTATTTGTTTAATTATTTCATATTTTTTTATTAATGTTTATTTCATTTTTTATATTTCATTATTATTTAATTTTTTATATTTAAACTAATATGTTTTATGTTTTGTATAACAGAATAAAACCCAAGTGAATAAGGGCAATAGGAAGAAGAAGACTCTTCTCCACCATTCCGGCTCCAGGCCCTTCTCATATAGGATGGATGTACGGCGGGTAATAATAATACCATTTCTATTTAATTTTTAATATGTCATTATTTTGTTCATACTAATATTTTTCTTCTCTTATTCAATTTAGGGGGGGTCGAAATTCCCAGAGATCGACGTCTTTGGTGACGTTTATGTTCGACCTGGGAATGAGTTGGCCGAGTCCCTTCATGTAAGTATTATTTTTTTAATTTTTATGTTACGCATTCAATTTATATACATGTTTTAATTTATATTTTATGTTATGTTAAACAGACGACGATGGTGGAGAGGAGCCAGTTGGTTCTTCAGGAGTCTGCCTCCCAACTTCCTCCCGAGACTTCGATTGAGTCAGTGGATCCTCCATAGGATGCTGGATTTCAGATCTTAACGGAGACGTTGGATCAGACTCTCGGGAGGAGGCCGGGAACATATTATAGAGGGATGGGGAATGCCAGACAGAGGGAACCTCGACCGCAGTCATCATCGCAGGCAAACAGTCAGGTGACTGTTTTGACATCGCGGGTTGCCGAGCTTGAGGGTCAGATGTCGGTGATTCTGCAGTCCCTCGCGCGGTCAGGCATTCCAATCCCGAATTTTGGTGCGTCGACATCCGAGACTGTCCACCCTGAGCATCCCCAACAGACCACGGCCCCTGTAGACCCCCAGATCCCCGAGCCGCATATGCCTGACGACCATGTAGATTTTGGAACATTATTTGATTAGTTTATAATTTTCATAATTATTTTTTAAATATTTCTCTTGTAATCTACATTTATTTTATTTTATATAATAAATGTATTCTTTACAATTCATTTTTAGATTGCAATTTCATTTTATTACCAAATAAAAAAAAACAAATTTATTTTTTTACAAAACAAAAAAAAACGTAATATTAAATTTAAATAATCTATATAAATTTTGCGCGACGAATGTTTCTCGTCGCGACGAATGTTTCTCGTCGCGCAAACTCACTTAAAAAAAAACCGTGAAAATAATAATTTATACACTTTAATTTATTCTTGCGTGACGACTTTTTTGTCGAGCAAGCTATGTATGTGCGATAGACCATATTTCGTCGCGCAATACTTTCGTCGCGCCAGGTTTGAATGACGAAGAATCCTTCGTTGCGCCAATTTAGCGCGACAAAGAGCTTTCGTCATGCAAAATAGTGCGATGCTAATCTTGCGCTACAACTTTTCCGTCGCGCACAGTTTGCGCGATGAAAGGTGTTTCGTCACGCAAAAATTCGTGCGTCGCACCGTCGTTTCATCCCTACAACTTTCCTGCAACGAAGGTGCTACGTCGCACTGTTTTGCGCGACGAAGTCAATTATTCGGTCATGCAAAGTCTTTCTTCACGAACTTTGCGCGACGGAATATGCGCGACGAATTTACTGTGGCGCATAATTATGTGCGACGAAATGTTACTTTGCGCAACGAAAGTCCATTCGTTGCGCAAAGTGTAAAATGTAGTCTAGGGTACGTAGGCAGTTTGATCCCGTCAAGGGTACGTAGGCAGTCTAGCATCCCACTAGACGCAACCGCAACCAAATTTGAATCCTTGGTTTATTCTAACCAAATTCGCCAGAATACTTTTCCAAGTGCAAATGTCAATTTAAAAGATTAGTGGCTTAATTGAAATTTCTCACTATTTTTCTTGGACATTGACAATAGGAAAATGGTACAAAACCATCCAACTTTTTCCATGGGTCATTTACCCATGCAAATTTCAATGAGATGAAATTCAAATCTCTCAAATACAAATTCTCAATTAGTGGGTCACACTTACCCATTAATTTCCAAATCATTTTGGAACTACGTCAGTTTAATCTCATCAAGGGTACGTAGGCAGTCTAGTATCCCACTAGACGCAACCACAACCAAATTTGAATCCTCGGTTTATTCTAACCAAATTCGCCAGAATACTTTTCCAAATGCAAATGTCAATTTTAGAAAATTAGTGGCTTAATTGAAATTTCTCACTATTTTTCTTGGACATTGACAATAGGAAAAATGGTAGAAAACCATCCAACTTTTTCCATAGGTCATCTACCCATGCAAATTTCAATGAGATGAAATTCAAATCTCTCAAATACAAATTCTCAATTAGTGGGCCACACTTACCCATTAATTTCCAAATCATTTTGGAACTACGTCGGTTTGATCCCGTCAAGAGTATGTACGCAGTCTAGTATCCCACTAGATGCAACCGCAACCAAATTTGAATCCTTGGTGTATTCTAACAAAATTCGTCAGAATACTTTTCCAAGTGCAAATGTCAATTTTAGAAAATTAGTGGTTCAGTTGAAATTTCTCACTATTTTTCTTGGACATTGACAATAAGAAAAATGGTACAAAACCATCCAACTTTTTCCATGGGTCATCTACCCATGCAAATTTCAATGAGATGAAATTCAAATCTCTTAAATACAAATTCTCAATTAGTGGGCCACACTTACCCATTAATTTTCAAATCATTTTGAAACTATGTTGGTTTGATCCCGTCAAGGGTGCGTAGGCAGTCTAGCATCCCACTAGACGCAACCGCAACCAAATTTGAATCCTTTGTTTATTCTAACCAAATTCGCCAGAATACTTTTCCAAGTGCAAATGTCAATTTTAGAAAATTAGTGGTTTAATTGAAATTTCTCACTATGTTTCTTGGACATTGACAATAGGAAAAATGATACAAAACCATCCAACTTTTTCCATGGGTCATCTACCCATGAAAATTTCAATGAGATGAAATTCAAATCTCTCAAATACAAATTCTCAATTAGTGGGCCACACTTACCCATTAATTTCCAAATCATTTTGGAACTACGTCGGTTTGATCCCGTCAAGAGTACGTAGGCAGTCTAGCATCCCACTAGATGCAACCGCAACCAAATTTGAATCCTTGGTTTATTCTAACCAAATTCGTCAGAATACTTTTCCAAGTGCAAATGTCAATTTTAGAAAATTAGTGGCTTAGTTGAAATTTCTCACTATTTTTCTTGGACATTGACAATAAGAAAAATGGTACAAAACCATCCAACTTTTTCCATGGGTCATCTACCCATGCAAATTTCAATGAGATGAAATTCAAATCTCTCAAATACAAATTCTCAATTAGTGGGCCAAACTTACCCATTAATTTCCAAATCATTTTGGAACTAGTTTGGTTTGATCCCGTCAAGGGTTCGTAGGCAGTGTAGCATCCCACTAGACGCAACCGCAACCAAATTTGAATCCTTGGTTTATTCTAACCAAATTCGCCAAAATACTTTTCCGAGTGCAAATGTCAATTTTAGAAAATTAGTGGTTTAATTGAAATTTCTCACTATTTTTCTTGGACATTGACAATAGGAAAAATGGTACAAAACCATCCAAATTTTTCCATGGGTCATCTACCCATGCAAATTTCTATGAGATGAAATTCAAATCTCTCAAATACAAATTCTCAATTAGTGGGCCACACTTACCCATTAATTTCCAAATCATTTTGGAACTACGTCGGTTTGATCCCGTCAAGGGTACGTAGGCAGTCTTGCATCCCACGAGACGCAACCGCAACCAAATTTGAATCCTTGGTTTATTCTAACCAAATTCGCCAGAATACTTTTCCAATTGCAAATGTCAATTTTAGAAAATTAGTGGCTTAATTAAAATTTCTCACTATTTTTCTTGGACATTGACAATAGGAAAAATGGTAGAAAACCATCCAACTTTTTCCATGGGTCATCTACCCATGCAAGTTTCATTGAGATGAAATTCATATCTCTCAAATACAAATTCTCAAATAGTGGGCCACACTTACCCATTAATTTCCAAATCATTTTGGAACTACGCTGGTTTGATCTCATCAGGGGTACGTAGGCAATCTAGCATCCCAATAGACGCAACCGCAACCAAATTCCCATTAACCAAACCTTTACACAAATCAATTTAGAGATTCAATCTAGATGCAACCATCCCAAACACATTTCCATATCGAATTCCTGGTTTATTTAGCTAAATTCACTCAAACACTACTCAATCGAACTCATTCAAATTCCTCCCTTTGCAATGAGTCATCTATTCATTGCAAATCTTTGAACTACGAGTGGCTTGATTCTTGCGAGGGATACGTAGGCATCATGAGGTTGGACTTGGGAATAGCCGCAAAACCAAACACACACGTTCTGTTTCTTTATGATGGAATCAAAGGGTTTTCCCTTGTAGCAAGGGATTGTAATTAAGAGACTTGCGTCTCGTATGGGTCGAACCTAAAATAATAAAATCCCATTAATTAATTAGTGGTGGTAAAATTATGTTGGGAGATTCACATTTTCCTTCAACAGATTGTCTTAGTAATTTCTTTTGCATCTAAAGAATATTTAACCCTAAAAAAAATGTTACTCCATCTTGAGACGTTTCCCCTTAAACATGTTTGCCACACTAATCACAAGGTATACTAGTAATTAATGTTTCAAACCACCTAGGATATTTTTTCAAGCATTATTGTGGAGGTAGCAAAATATTGTTATTCCTGTTACAAGAAATGTTTTTCCTTTTTGAATGATACATTCAAATGTCTTTGACATTGAATCTACATATACGGGGTGGTTGTCCACATGGCATGGTATGAGAGCATCATTGAGCTATGTCACTATACAGCAAAACAGTATGCTATGTGAACGTATACAATTCTTTTTATATTAAAATATTAACCAAATTTTTAAAAATAGTAATGCTTTAGCTAAACCGTGTTTTTCTTTGTAAAGGCTTTCTTCCTTTTCTCCTATATATATCTGATGCAAGCTAGCATATATGGAGAAACACGGAGACAACCATATCTCAATATATACTTGCAGTGTTTTTGCATTATCGATTTATTACTTGTTTATATGGACCGCTTTCTTCAGTTATCTTTTTCCACATAGTGACATGAATAAGAGTAGAGTGTACGTTGTACAGTTTTTTTCTTCTTCTTTTTAGAAAATTTGGTATAGTCCAATGCTGATGACGTAAGTGAAATTGAACCTATATCTTAGATCTCCTTTTAGTCAATTATAACTAGAGAGTTCTCCTCATTACAGGTTTCAAGATGCCACCCTAGATTCTTATTTTTTGATGAACCCACTCTCAGCTCTTAAGTAGAAAACCTAAACTTTGTATAACATTTATAAATAATAAATAAATCAAAAAACCAAAATAACAGGGAGATAAGAAGCAAAACCCTTCAAAGAACGAACAATGGGAACCAAAAAAAAAAACATGCATACAATTGACTAAAATCAATTTGGTTGCTGTTGAGAATTAAAGTAGTGGAATATTAATTTAAGTATTGTGATCATCATTCATTTCATCCATGCCATCATAATTAATTTGGTTTCGGTAATTGTTATTCCTGCATCTTACTTTTTAGCTCGTGCATCATAATTAATTTGGTTTCTTATAGGTAATTATGATTACCTCCATAAATGTATTAGGAATTTTCTTTAGCAAGTGATTTTGTATTCTTATTTGTAAGAACTTAGAATTACGCCTTGACATTTTAGTCTCAGTGTGATTTCCATAACATTAATTTTGCATTGTATATAGCAGATAATTTACTCCTTTATATGGTTTTGTCTTGTATGAATGTGTGGCTCTGCTTTAGCTAAACCGTGTTTTTCTTTGTAAAGGCTTTCTTCCTTTTTTCCTATATATATCTGATGCAAGCTAGCATATATGAGAGACAACCATACATCAATATATACTTGCAGTGTTTTTGATCAATTAACATGAAGGGCGACGGAAGGTGCTTGAAACTCTTTCTTGCATTTTCGATCCTTTTCCTACAAAACGTAAAAGGAGGAGAAGTTGGCCACAGCCACAACCACAGCCACAGCCTCAGGGATGCTAAAGTGACAGTGAGGTGCATAGAGAGGGAAAGGCAAGCACTACTTGCATTCAAACGTGGCCTGGTGGGATGACTTCAATCAACTCTCTTCTTGGGGTTCAGAAGCCGAAAAACAAGATTGTTGCAGATGGGAAGGAGTCTACTGTAGCAACCAAACTGGCCATGTGATTCAACTTCATCTTGGATATTCTGTCCCTGAATATTCTTTCTTTGGATATTCTTTCCAAGGTAAGATGATTAGTCCTAAACTGATTGAGTTGCAGCATTTACAATATTTGCACCTTGCATCCATTGATTTCAATGGGAACCAAATTCCTGATTTCATTGGTTCTCTAACCAATCTAAGAAACCTCAGTCTCAGTTCCTGTAATTTGGCTGGTCAAATTCCAAGTTCGTTTGGAAACCTCACGCAATTGCAACATCTCGACCTCAGCTATAATTATCAGCTTCAACCAGAAAATCTCAATTGGCTCCCTGCTCTTTCTTCTTTAACGTATTTGGACCTTTCATTGACTAATTTCAATGGGAGCCAAATTCCAGATTTCATTGGTTCTCTAACCAATCTAAGAAACCTCAGTCTCAGTTCCTGTAATTTGGTTGGTCGAATTCTAAGTTCGTTTGGAAACCTCACGCAATTGCAACATCTCGACCTCAGCGATAATCAGCTTCAACCAGAAAATCTCAATTGGCTCCCTGCTCTTTCTTCTTTAACGGATTTGGACCTTGGCGGAAACTTCGATGGGAGCCAATTCCCGATTTCATTGGTTCTCTAACCAATCTAAGGTCCCTCAGTCTCCATTCCTGTAATTTGGTTGGTCAAATTCCAAGTTCGTTTGGAAACCTCACGCAATTGCAAAATCTCGACCTCAGCTATAATTATCAGCTTCAACCAGAAAATCTCAATTGGCTCCCTGCTCTTTCTTCTTTAACGGATTTGGACCTAAGCGGAAACTTCGATGGGAGCCAAATTCCCGATTTCATTGGTTCTCTAACCAATCTAAGTACCTCAGTCTCTATTCCTGTAATTTTGTTGGTCAAATTCCAAGTTCGTTTGGAAACCTCACGCAATTGCAACATCTCGACCTCAGCGATAATTATCAGCTTCAACCAGAAAATCTCAATTGGCTCCCTGCTCTTTCTTCTTTAACGCATTTGGACCTAAGCGGAAACAATCTCAGTACTGTTTTCGATTGGCCAGAAGCAGTACTTAATAAGCTCCCTAAACTAGTAGAGTTGAGATTGGTGAACTGTAGTCTTCCTCCTCCTCCTACTCCAATTCTTTCCACTACTCTTTACAAAACAAATTCTTCTACATCTCTTGCGTCTGTTTATCTCTCTGACAACCATCTCACTTCTTCAATATTTCTTTGGTTGTCCAACTACAGTACAAGCCTTGTTAGTCTTGACCTCTCCAACAATAATCTATCTGGTTTCATTCCCGATTTCTTTGGAAACATGAGCTCTCTTGTGGATCTGGATCTCTCTCACAACCATCTCACTTCTTCAATATTTCTTTGGTTGTCCAACTACAGTACAAGCCTTGTTAGTCTTGACCTCTCCTACAATAATCTAACTGGTTTCAATTCTGATTTCATTGGAAACATGAGCTCTCTTGCTAGTCTGTCTCTCTCCAACAATAATCTAACTGGTTTCATTCCCGATTTCATTGGAAACATGAGCTCTCTTGTGGATCTGGATCTCTCTGATAACCAGATTGATGGAGCGAATCCAAATTCGTTTGCAAGGTTGTGTAATTTGGGAACATTGTTGCTTCAGAGAAATCATCTGAGTGGACAATTATCCAAGTTTGTTCAACTATTGCCTAGATGTGCTCAAAACTCATTAGGGTATCTGGACCTCTCTGAGAATGTTCTTAAGGGGTCATTAAACAATCTTACAAGCTTCTCATCTTTGAAATCGTTGAATCTTAGGGCCAATCAATTAAGCGGAAAAATACCTGAAAGTATTGGGCAAATGTCGCAACTGGAGGGAATCGATTTCAGCAAAAACTCTTTGGAAGGGGTGGTTTCAGAAACTCATTTCTCAAAACTCTCCCGTTTAGGTTATTTGGATTATCCTATAACTCACTAGTTTTAAATTTCCATTCTGATTGGGTTCCTCCCTTCCAGTTGCGTTCCATACAGTTGGCGTCCTGCAAGGTCGGTCCTCTTTTCCCAAAATGGCTTCAAACTCAAAATGATTCTTCCTGGCTTGATATTTCCAATGCTGGAATTTCTGATATCCTTCCAAGTTGGTTTTGGAGTAATTTTCGTAACGCAAAGGTTATTAATCTCTCACAGAACCAAATCAGAGGAATATTTACAAATTTGACAGTGGAGTTTGCACATTACAAAGAACTACATTTGAGTTCCAACCAAATAGAAGGTCCAATTCCCTCAACTCTATCACAAGCCTCCTATCTGGATCTCTCCAATAATAAAATTTCAGGGTCTCTTTCTTTCCTGTGCGCAAGTGCAGATATGATTTTAGCGTATCTTAATCTTTCAAGCAACAGTTTTGCTGGAGAACTTCCAGATTGCTGGAGCCATTTGGAGAATCTAGTCATGCTTGATTTGAGTAACAACGCTTTTTCCGGAAAAATTCCCATGACAATTGGCTCTTTATTTCAAATGCAAACTTTGAAATTAAGAAGCAACCGATTTGTTGGAGAATTGCCTTCATCGTTGAAGAACTGCACAAGTTTAGAAGTTATTGATCTGGGAGATAATAAATTATCAGGACCAATACCTACATGGTTAGGTGTGAGCTTCAAGAATTTGGTTATCCTTATGTTTTCCAATAATCACTTCAATGGAAGCATGCCCTCAAAATTATGCCATCTAACATACATTAAAATTATGGATTTCTCTATGAACAACATCTCTGGAAGCATACCCAAATGCCTCAACAATTTGACTACTCTGTCTCAAAAAGGAAATCCAAGTCTGTCCAGCACACATACTTATGACGTGCATATGGATGATCAATTTTAAGTACTAATTATGAGGATGATGCAAGCTTCATATGGAAAGGAAGAATGCAGACATACAAAAGCACTTTGGGCCTTGTGAAGAGAATTGATCTCTCAAGCAATAGATTAACAGGGGAGATTCCATGTGAAATCACTCATCTTGTTGGGTTGGTTTCTTTAAACCTTTCAAGAAACCGGTTAACAGGTCAAATAACTCCAGAGATTGGAAACTTGCAGTCATTGGATTCGCTTGATTTATCAAGAAACCATATAGATGGAGGAATTCCGACAAGCCTTGCTCAGATAGATCGTCTTAGTTTCTTGGACTTGTCATATAACAACTTGTCTGGCAAAATACCAACAGGCACTCAGCTCCAAGGCTTTGATCCCTCTGTTTATGTTGGAAATCCTCAACTCTGTGGACCTCCGCTTAAAAAGATGTGTGCCGATCAAAATGAGAAAACTGACTTGAGCAATCAAGAGGATAAGGATGAGCTTATAACACTAGGATTTTACATCAGTATGGGGCTTGGCTTTGCTGCTGGATTTTGGGGAGTTTGTGGCACTTTGATATTCAACAGGTCATGGAGATACGCATACTTGAAGTTCTTGAATGGTTTAAATGATTGGCTTTATGTGAGGATAGCTTTGATCAAGCGGCAACTGAAGTTAGCATATGCTTAATAGATAAGCTCGCGACGGTACTCTTTCTCTCTCATCATTAATTTCGTTTTATAATTATTTTCTTATTGCATTTTTTCTTCTCTCCAAACTGATGGGTATTAATTTGTTTACTTTGATATTTAGCTGCAGCATCTAAATTAGGAGAAAAGTAGCTGTAGCTGAATGCCTCCTTCCAATTCAAGTGTTGAAGATTGCTAGTATGCGCACGCACAGGTATCTGGAGAAGAGTTTACGAGTTAAGTTGGAGTGCTTAGTAGGAATAAATATGATTTATATTAGTGTTAATTACTTGTCAGAACAATTAATTCAAAGTTCTCCAATTGATGTATTTTTATTTTTATTTTGTTTATTGAGAGAAATAAACAGATCTATTCAGATCCAATCATAACAGAGGCAATTATAAAATATACATGAAGAACATTGCCCTAGAGGAGGGTTCTTGCAAACAATAAATCATACAAATAAGCAAGAACAGTGAGCAAAACTCCACTAACATTTTAATCCAAGCTCACTCCGATTAATGTATTAATTCCAGCTGTAGTGTTATTTTAATTAACTAAGCCAAAGCCAAAGAGGACTTGATTTCAAATTACAACGTGTGGCTCTGTTTTGGTCATCTATTTGCAACATACAGCTTCTCCTTGTAAATTGGGGGTCAGCTTCTCCTTGTAAATGTGTGGCTCTGTTTTGGTCATTCTTTCCTTTCATAATTCAACATCTTATTCTGGGCACATGGTAGAAGATGCCTTTTTGTAGACAGACTTTTTGTATTTGGTTAGGCTTACTTGTGAGCTGCAAAATGCTTTGTACCAAAGTTTATGTATAAAATGCGTGCTAAATCTTGTGTGTGGAGTACAAGATTGAAGGTCTTCTTGGAAAAGCAATCACAAGCATTTTCTCTCTTTTCAGTTTGTAGAAATGTTCAAGTTCTTGCCCATTACTTGCAGATATATAGTGTTGTGTAGCATAAAGGCTCCATCATATTCAATTCCATCAAGGCCTGAAGGCCAATCACTGCTTTCTCTTGGATATTACCAACATTTGTAGAGCCATAATGAAAACTTGGTAGGCAAACCCAAATACTCGCAAGAGGCTTGTAGCTCAAGCGATTAAGAGCATCTATCCCTGCACTCAAGGTCCTAATGTGATTCCCTCCTCCCAATATTGCTTGTAACCAAAAACAAACAAAAAACTTGATAGGCCAGACCCAGATGAAGCTGGTTTTCATAAACTTGTTGGTCAGCTTGATAGTGGCTAAATAAGTTCAAATTTGGTTGGGAAAGTACTGTCCACCAATTTTAGCAGGTACACCACATGCTTTGACACTAACTCCCTCCTCACTATTATTACAGTTATCAGCCCCAAGTTTTCTTGACACTAAACTTGTTGGTCTCTGAAAGACGTTATAAACTAGATGGTTTATTTATCAGTACAAAGATATTTGATAACTGATTCTTCAACTTCTTGGGGGTTAACCCAGACCATGCTAACAAACTAGGAGCAGAGAAGGGCATATATATTTGAATACTAAAATACATCAAATATTGAATGTCTTAATACATTCAAGAATACACTGTTTCTTTCATTTCCTAACAATTCATTGTCCAGAGAACGGAACAACTAGTATCTCCTAAAGTAGAAATCAAGACATAAACCCCTAGCTTGCTTGCAGTAAGGAAAATAAGCAATTGATGAGGCCCTTATTGCGACATTGAAGGAATTTCACGAGGATGTTAAAAAGTAATGAAGCCACACAAATTTTGTGCACTCAATGTCAAAAATTAGCTCAAGTAATTACAAGATATTCACATTGAATCCATACAGAAAAACCAAAAGCAGCAGATGACACACACATCAAGCACGTCTCTTACTAAGACACCAAGAGTTAGGTTCATGGTATCTATAACCCTCCTGCGGGTCCTTTCTAGCACCGTGGAAGAAAAACCCTGCCGTAATTGCCTTCCTGATCTTTGTAAAATTCTTTCCAGCACTGACAACATCTAGTTTATATCTGAAATTCACAATCTATAGTCAGAATGCAATTTCATCTTCAAATCAGAATACTCAACTTAGAAATCGTTGATCACTGTTATAAGCAAGGGGTGCTAGTAGAGACATTGGCATGACAAATTTATGCTAGGTTTTTATACACAAACTTATCCTAGAGCTTACATGACAATGCTATGTCAATCAATGAAAACTGTTAACGGCAATGGTAGGATGTGTAATATGCCATCTGAATTTCCATATCAACTTTTAAAACAGTTTTGCAATATTTTGTACAAACAACACTATACCAAGAAAAACAATTGCGGTATCAAAATGCCTAAGATGTCCGCACAAGAGAGCACATTTGAAGAGCATATACTGGCAATTTAGCTATACACAAGAGTAGTTGTAATTTATAAAGATACTATACTTAGCCACTGAAAAAATGGTGGAAAAAAGCACTTCTGCTAATAATGCTCTGAAAACAGTGTATGTAGTAACATCAACATGACAATGTGTAATGACCTATTCGCTGCTCAGGTACCATATATCTAGATTTTAAAACACAAACTAGGCCTGAACAATATTTCAGCATTTCCATCAAGTACAGACAGCAAAAGGCATGCCTAATTCACGACTACTGCAAAAATACCATGTACCAAACATGAGCAAACCTAGAACATTAATCTACATCTTTTAAAACCATTCATGCACATCTGAAACCAGAAAAAAAGATGCATGCAACCACGAATACACATCAAGATAAATTAGAAGAACATACTTGTCCATGATGCTGAGAAGCTGTTTTCTGACATCCTGTGCCCTCCTCAAGGATCGAGATTGAACAAAGTTCTCAAAACACCATGGCCCTGAAAAATTCTTAGCTTTCCATGCCTCATAGACTGCAAGTAAAGTCAGATGATCTCCCTCTGGCTGGAAAAACTTGGCTCTCTTCTGATCTGCCTGGGCTTGTTTTTCCCTAGGCCTGTAAAAAATATTACCAGTCTGAATCATTGCAATGATGGTCAAGATCTCATCACTGCATCCAAGGTCCACACTGGCCAGTAGCATCTTAGACAAGGGTGGATCCAGAGGAAACTCAGCCATTTTCCTACCCAATTTGGTGAGCAGCCCCTCCTCGTCCAGTGCTCCTAAACTGTACAATTGTTCCATGGCAGAAATGAGTGCTTGGGGTGAAGGAGGATCCATAAAATCAAAAGACGAGATCATTTATCCCCATAGCTTTCATCGTAAGTGTAGTAGTCCCAAGATTTATCCTCTGGATTTCTGGAATTGAAGTAGGGGACATCTCATTGCGGTATGCACTCAGTGTAGAGGCGGTAACATCTCCCAGGGCCTGTACGCCCAGCACGCCCAGCTCGTTGCTTGGCTGATGCTTGGGAAATTGGAGTTATAACCAGTGAATCTTTGGGTTATAAACATTTTGCTTTGCAAAACCAGGATCAATGACATAAAATATCCCATCAATGGTCAGTGATGCCTCAGCAATATTAGTAGCCACAACTACTTTCCTCTTACCAGGTGGGGCAGGATCAAATATCCTTGACTGCATTTCACTAGGAAGGGCACTATACACTGGTAGGATAATCAACTCAGGGACATTTTTACCAAGACATTTCATCCTCTCATAAAGAGACTGGCATGCAAAATCAATCTCTTCTTGTCCAGTCAAGAAAAGAAGGATGTCACCTTCAGGTTCTGTCAAGTGCATTTGTAGAACAGTTATTAGAGATGCATCAAGGTAGTCACTTTCCGGCTGTTTAGTGTAGAGTATCTCTACAGGAAAAGTTCTCCCAGGGATAGTGAAGATGTTACAGTTGAAGAAATAACCGGAAAAATTCTCCGCATCCAAAGTAGCAGATGTGACAATCAAACGAAGGTCTGGTCTCCGCTTCACAAGCTTCTTCAGTAGTCCAAAAAGAACATCTTTGTGGATTGTCCTCTCATGAGCTTCATCAAGCATGACCACAGAATACTGAGAAAGGTTCTCGTCAATCAAAATCTCCCTAAGAAGCATACCATCAGTCATGTACTTGATGACAGTATCTGGACCAGTGCAATCCTCAAAACGAATTGCATAGCCCACTTCCTCTCCTAAACGACAACCAAACTCTTCAGCAACCCTCTTGGCCACGGACATGGCAGCCACCCTACGTGGCTGTGTACAACCAATCTTACCCATTGTCGTGTAACCCGCTTCTGCAAGATACTGCGTTACCTGTGTTGTCTTACCCGAACCAGTCTCACCAATGACAACAAGCACTTGGTTCTCATGCACCGCTGCAATCAATTCTTTCTTCAGCTTGTAGATAGGCAAGCTCTGCCTCTGTTCCTGGATTGAGAGTTTAGACCTCTGCCCAAAACTGATGGTTTTCCCAAAAGCATCCTTCTTCCACTCAGGCATATCATATGCCGACAAACCAACACCTCTAAGTTCTTGTGCAAGATGCCTCTCACCAGCCTCTGGCATTGGATCTTCCCAGGGACGATTGAGATCCTTTGGGATAGAATCCAACATGGTTCTTTGCTGCTGCTCACGCACTTCTCTACGCTCCTTAATGAGTGCAGACTGAAGAGCAGCTGTATGACCTAGTGACCCTTCTGGATTCTTAAAGATTTTCACAGGTGACATATCAACAGAATACCTGCTCTGTCCATTTAAAAAGGCTGGCTCATCCTCATTGAGCTCAATCTCAAGCTCTTCCTCAGCTCCCTCTTCTTGATAAAGCATCCCATCGGTTTCCTCATCATACATAGGATACTCTGTAACACCCAAAACACCTGAGGCAATCAACTGTTTGGCTTCCACTTCTCCGGCGAGCTCATTCTCTTCAATGGCCGGCGTGATGGGCCAACATCATCCTCTTCCACAATCCTAATCCCAGAAAGACCAGTCCTAGTCACAGGTCCATCCTTTGGTTCGTCCTAAGAGCATCATCCTCTGAGCTCTTCTTCAAGGGGAGCAAATCTTTCCCTGTATGTTGATCAACGTCCCTCATTGAAAGGCTCAACTTCTGACCTGAAATTGAAATCACCTTCACATAAACTTCCTGATCCCTCTTCACCACATCCTTAGCATTGCTAATTCGCCGAGTTGCCATTTGTGAAACGTGAACCAGACCCTCCTTCCCTCTTAAATCATTCAACTGAACAAAGCAACCGGTGTCCATCACTCTCGAAACCCTGCCCTTATAAACCTGATACAATTCGGGCTCATCTGAATGGTTCTGGCCATTCTGCCGATCCCTATTACCTCTCCTATCATAACCATCTTCCTTAACATCTCCATTGTCTTCATACCCATCTCTCTTATGCTTATTGTATCGATCTGTACGCCTTCCCCTGTCGTCACCATCAACATTATAATGTGTATCTCTATGCCTCTCATCTCTATCATACCTTTCCCTTCGCCTTTCCCTCCCGTCTCTATCTCCACCTCCTCCGTGTCTATCTCGATCTCTATCTCTATCTCCTTCCCTATATCTATCGCTACCACTACGCCTATCTTCTTCTTGCTCTTCGTCTTGTTCTTCGGTTCTGTTTCACTTTTCCTCGGTCTCCATCTCAATTTCCTTCTCGATGTCCTTGACTCTATCTTTATTATTGGCGACGGCCAAAGCCTTAAACTTGGTCTTCCTACCATCAGAAGCGCTCTCTTTCTTCGAGTCCTTCTCAGGCTTTGGCTTCGGTGGAAGAATAGCTTGCATGATAGTGAGGAGTGTACGGACAAAGTAATCGGGCATCTCGGCACCCTTTTTCTTTAATTTGGTGTCGAACTCATCCACCGTCTCTCAGTTTCGTCCCAACTCAGTGATGAACTCCGCCAGAACTTTGTCCCCAACCCCTATATGGGTTTTGAGCTCTGAACAGACCTTGGAAACCAAGGAAAGGTACTCGAGCTTCTTCAAACCATCGTCCGTGGCAGCCATTATGAACTTGCAGAGGTCCTATTCATATTCAATACAAAAAAAAACCGTATGATATGAACTTGCACAGGCCCTATTCATATTCGACACAAAAAATTCATATCAACGGAAAGTTCAAAATTTATGAGAAGATCATTGCTATATACTTCTAATCAGTAGCATAAAGTTCAAAATTCATTATCACAATAAAGAAACAATTTCTACAACTTCAAACTCGCCCACCAAAATATGAAATTTAAATCTAAAATTGCATACCAGGAGGATCTGGAGAGTTAATTCAACTAATAATAAAGTAAACTTGGAATGCCAAAAATAATTCAACTAAAACCCTGGAAATAAGAAACGGAAGAGAATAAAAAGAAATATGAAACAAAATCAAGGAAACTGATCGTTGCTAGAGGGTGGGGGTTCAGTGGATCTTAAATCTGTGATGAGATGGGGTCCAGGATTAGAATATATTGCAGTAAGACATCATACTTGGGATGAGATGAGATCCAAGATGGTTGCGCATCAACCGTTGTCACTGTCGAGAGAGAGAGGAGAGCTGAGCAATATGTATATGGGAGAAAGACGGCGTCGAACAATGGAGGAGTTGACGGTTGAGATGGGCGGATTGTTCGTGGCTGACGGCTGGAGCGTTTTCTGTTTCAGAAATAATCTCAACTGAGATGAGGGATTTTAGCGATTAGGGTTGAGAACTTGAGTTGGAGTGCGTCTGGTGTATCGATACGCCTAAATTTGGGACCTGTGAAACTAGAGAAACTAATATAATAATAATATCATTTATCTTTCAGAAGCGAAAAACTTATAAGTAAAAATTTAAATCCGACAAAATCTAATAAATTACAGAGAAACTTTAGTAAATAGAAGAATATATCTATACAGTCCTGTTCTCTTGGACGCCAGGGGTCCAAGAGACTTATGGTCACCCACCTTTAGATTTAATCCAAGGGTTGAGAAAAATTTACTTTAAAATATATTTTTTCTTTCACCTTTTAAATTTCACTTAACAAAAAAGGAAAAAACTAAAAACTAAAAACCCAAAATCTATTCTTCTTCCTCCCGCTGCCTTCGCGTTCTGCTTCCTCCCATCGCTGCAGCCACAAACTCCGACTCCGGCGTAGCGAGCGAAAATCCAGAGCACTCATTCCCTCGCACTTCAACAAGGTCAGTTTCTTGTTCTTCAAAAGTTTTTCACTCAATTTTTGGATCTGAAATCATGAACCCATATTTGGGAAATTTCAATTGGGTTTCTGTTATTTTTTATTTTGGAAGTACTGTAACTATTCCTTGTACACATCTGAACAAATATTAGTCTATAGTTGGGAAAAGAATAAACCCTTTGATTTCTAGAAATTGGGAATGAATTGGGAGACCCTTGTAAGCATCTTAATATATGATTGGTTACTTTCAATTCTCTAGCATAGAAAATGTCCAAGTCAAGTTTTCACTCTAGTGAATTGTCCTGTAGTTTCTGAGAGATTTGTGTTCCTTCTCTGTTACCAGGTTTTTATTTTTCTCCCAACCATATCAAAGCGTGTAATTGGTTGGTTTGAATTGGTTGAATTCCTATAGGTATATATGATTAAAAAAGGGCAATGATTTCCCCACTCTTATTTTCCACTCACTCCTTTTTTAGTTATAAAAAAGGATAGTGGATAAAATAGGAGAAAAAGTGGGGAAATCACCACTATTAAAAAAACTGCCTATAATTGGTTGAATTTGGTTAATTCGAAGCTCCTTTACAAGAGAGAAGTTGATTACTTTACAACTATGATATTTGTTGTGGTGTTCATATGTATGTAATTGATAACTGAATGTTATAAATGAATTTTGTTTTACTGATGTTTTGATCTTGCCGCATTCTAAAAGTCTATAAATGAATGAACTCCTTTTGTGTTTCTAGCAATAGAGAAGGGAAGGAAATGGAACAAGTCCTCTCATGGTCAAAGAAAATATGAAATTAGTTAGAGAGGATAAAAACTTTGAAAGAAAATCAAGCCTGGATGACTCTTACAGATTCTACAAATTGGGAGTAGGCGGAAAAGCAAGCCTAGCTGAGCTGACGAAGCTGGTGTTAAGTGCAAATGTGTTCAGTTTTGATTTTATGGGCACCTTTGCCATCAATTGATAAATCAGAAGCATGGAGAAAGGCTTTGTTGGTTCACCTCTCATTCCTGATATTATATGTCTCAAACTTAAAAAAGAAATCGGAATCCTTATCTTCCTCCGATTTGAAGCTCATATAACACTTCTGCATCATGACCCTTTATTTTCTCCCTCTCATCTTGCGCAAAATTTCTTAAATCTCTTTCTATGAACCCAACACTTTTATGTCCACCAGCTTGTGTCTCCAAGAGTTCGAATTGTTGATATAATGGAATGTTCACATTGGAAAACTTTTTCATCAACTTTATTTTTGTATCTGATACACCACGATGAGATCTTAACAAGTATACTCTAGATGGTGTTGCAAGTGGATGAGTATGTTCCTCAATGAAAGTCTTAACTACAAAATTGAACCCATCATAAACTACTGTTAACGTTGCTTTGCAATTTTCACGAACATTACCTCGTTCTCTTTCTATTTGTGTAGACTCACTGTCTTTTTTTTTTCCTCCACGTCTCATCTGTTTCACCTTCCTTAAAACAAACGTATCGTTTCCAAAAAACCTCACATGTTTCTTTCTTTTTCTTCTCCTTACTAATCCTGACACTAAATCCAGCATCCTTTGCGTAATCATTGTAGAACTCGTATGTTTCATCCAATGACTTGAATGCTAGCCCTGCTTTCTGTTTTTTATCATCTCTAACTTGAGGGATATAAAATTCATCTTTAGAAAACATCCATTCATCTAATGCATTTGCCATCACTCCTGCACTTAAATGTATAATAAGAAAATTAGTACAAACATATGTAATAAACAAAGAAAAAACTCGAATGGAAGAAATAAATAAATAAAGGTCTGGAAAAAGAAAAAAAAATCATATTTTCACAATCAATAACAAACTGCATAGTTGCAAGAACCCCATATTGAGATTCACGTTTGACAAAGGAAAAACTCGAATGGAAGAACCCTATATTGAGATTCATGTTTGTTCTAGTGGTTCTGAAATAAAAAATATAGTAAATTTGATTTACACCCTTTAAATTCAATTTGCCGTACCTAAAACCCTTCACTTTTTGTTCCTATAAATAATACCCAATTTGTATAAGTAAAAACCCATGACTAGGATCCAACTCAGCAAGTTACCTAATTAAACATAAAACATGATTTATTGTACTTTTCAGATTCCAAAAATACCCCCAACTAAGCCATTATTGCATTTTGTATATTAATGTAGGAATCAATATGGAAACAGTTTTTAATTGGATTGTATATAATGACAGATGTTGAATTTGGAAAGATCTCCAAATTGTTGTAATGGATGTAGGAATTAATTTTGAAACATTTTAAAAAAAATTTAACAATAAATTCAAATTTAGGTAATCGGTTTGTTTAATAAAATGTTTATGTTATTTTCTTTTTATGAATTATACATGACTAATAATCCACTTTATAATTGTTTATGAATAAAACTGTACATACTAATTATGTTGAAAAAATAATGTACCTATTACTTGTTTGTTTTATGAAAAACATAATTTACCTAGTATGAAAAGTGTACATAATTATCTATTCCAAATAATGTACCTATACACATTTACAGGTATATTGTAAAATAATTTACCTGTGGGTAAATAATGTACCTATATTTTATATAAATTATTGTGTACCTATTTTTAATTATGAAAAATATACGCAATTACAAAGTAACTTTGTTTTTTTTTTTTTTTTTTTTTTTTTTTTTTTTTTTAATATACCTATATTTTATATGTATATATTTATATTATATTTTTCATAGGTACATTATTGGATATGTAATTTACACATTTTTTGTTTGTTTGTAATTTTAGGGGGCGAGATGTGAGAGGGAATGACAACTAAAAGAAATGGGGTGATTGATATTCTATTAATAGGGAGTATATTAATTACAATTATGGCAGTTAATGAAATGCTTGAAATAAATTATAAATAAAATATGAAGTTTAGTGGCAATGATGTAAAAACATAGAAATACTAAGACCTCTTATATCCTACTAGTCATTTAAATTTGAAATTGGGTTTTACACATAGATTTATAGAGTGATGGGTATATGTCTAGGAAATAGAAAATGTAGGGATCTATATTGGACAAGCCCTAAAAAATAACACAAACCCAATTGAAATTCTAGGCGTACAAGGAATAGTTACAAAACTTCCAAAATGAAAAATAACAGAAACCCAATTAAAATTCCCATATATGGGTTCATGATTTCAAATAAAAAAATTGAGTGAAAAACTTTTGAAGAACAAGAAACTGACCTTGTTGAAGTGCGAGGGAATGAGTGCTCCGGATTTTCGCTTGCTACGCTAGAGTCGGAGTTGTTGTGGCTGCAGCGATGGGAGGAAGCAGAACGCGGAGGCAGCAGGAGGAAGAAGAACAGATTTTGGGTTTTTAGTTTTTAGTTTTTTCCTTTTTTGTTAAGTGAAATTTAAAAGGTAAAAGAAAAAATATATTTTAAAGTAAATTTTTCTCAACCCTTGGATTAAATCTAAGGATGGGTGACCATAAGTCTCTTGGAAAACGGGACTGTATATCTATATATATAAAGCAAAAGGCCGAGAATGGTGAAACATTCAAAATACCATAAAATACCCTTAGTTAATTCAAACATTAAGAATTAAAATTATTAATTAAATGAGGATAATATGGTAAATTTGTATTTTTATATTAAAATTAAAAACAAAATCAGATAATAGCTCCTACTTTTATGGGACATAACTACCAATATTATCTTTTTTTTAATTTTAAAAATAAAATAAAAAATAAAACCAATTAGCAGCATGTGCCAAGGGGCTAGTATATATATATATATATATATATATATATATATATAAAGCAAAAGGCAGAGAATGGTA